TGCACGGGGCAGTGGAGGGGAGGATAAAGGTATGGATGCAGGAGTCAGTGGATGTGTGGATGGATGGATGGAGCAATAGGTAGATGAGTGGATGAATGGATGGGTGGGATGTATGTATGTATGTATGGATGGATGGATGGATGGAGGGATAGATGAATGGGTAGAGGAGCGGGTGGGTGGAGAGAGGGCAAAATAGGTGTAGGGAGGAAAGAAGGGAAAATGTTCACTTCCACACCTTCCCCTGGTGGGCTTTCAGTTGGGTGGGAAGCCAACGAGGCATCTTGAGACCCGGAACCCCCCTTCCTCTGTATAGAGACGCCCACCACAGCCCACGCTCCGGGCACAGGCTACTCTGGGTCTTCCCTGAGCAGTCAGGGCGGGTCCCAGACGAGTCCCCACAGGTGTGGCAGAGTAGGAGACTCCATGGGACTCCACAGGGGCCATTTGCCTTCTGAACCCAAACTCATTCTGTGCCGGGGGCCCCTAATCCTTCTCTGAAGGGGCCTTCTGCCAAATCCCGTGCAAAGCCAAAGACTGCTTCCCAGCGTCCTGTCCTCCACCCGGGAGCCCGGAGTTGCCGGGCCAGCCCTGCTGCACGTCCTGCTGAGGTGTCACCCCGTATGCCCAGGTGACATCCGGGTGTGTGCCACAGGGGGCGCTGTCGCATCACACAGCTGGGCCAGGGCAGCCGGGGGCTGGCGTCTGGTCAGAAGGCCGCTATGCCGACCCCTGGTGCAGTGGCCCCAGGTGCCACAAGCTTTTCCTTAGTGTCCGGAGAACTGGTTTGCACGCCAGTCCCTTCCCTCTGGTAATCGGGCCTTTTCTTTTGCAGGACACAGGCACGAACCCTTCTGATCAGGAAACCCCGTCCCGCTGACGCCTGAGTGGCTGCCCAGGTGACTGTCCCGCGCTGCCCCTCGCTTCCCACCCCTCCCCGATCTGTCTCGCCGGGCTGATGGCCTCCTCCTGCACCCCTGCTGGCTCTGTTTCTCTCTATATATCAGTCTTCTCTGGTCTTCCTTTCTTTCTGACTTGTGTTTGCCTGTTTCTCTGATTGCTGATTGCACTGTTCTGTTGCTATGTTCTCTTTTCCCACAGTGCATTCATTCATTCATTCATTCACTCATTCATTCAGATATATTCATTGAAGACTCACTTTGTGCCCAGAAGCGCCCTAGACCCTGGGAGTGTGACACTGGACAAACCCAGCCCATGCTGTGTGAACCATGCTTTTTCCTAAAGCCTGATGTGTGCCACTAAAATAAGGGAACATTCTCCTTAATTTTTGTCCTGCAAAGTCACACAGACCTGGCAGCCAGAGCTTCTAAGCAATTTAAGAAACAAGGTCCCCACCTGGTGTGGTTTCGTTGCTCCAAAACCCCGGATGCTTGTCCCTTGAGCTGGCCTGTGACGAGAGGCTGATTCCCCAGCTGTTCCATGATGTACTGAAAATGACCTCAGGACTTGCTTTCTCGGGGAACCCAATGTGAGAACCACTGAACATAAGGGTAGGATGGTGGGTATGACCACCGTGGGCCTTCTGGTCGTCTTCCTAAGTGCCTTTTGAATCACTTTTTTGAGGACCAGCAAAGCCTTTGGACCTCACAGCCCACTCTCCAGAGATGTGTCCATGTTCCCCTCTCCTTTGAGGTAAATTAGGGAACCCTATGGGGGCGACAACTTCTTGAAGGTTGGAGGGGGTGGGGCTACAGCCAAATCCAGGCTGAGATTGGAGGATCCACAGTCTGTCATGCCAATCTGGCCAATGCATGTGGAGATGTGTCTCCAGGTTGAGAAGCCCCTTGTGGTGGTGGAGTAGCCAGCATTGGTCCTTGGTTTCTCCTGGCCGTAGATAGATGATAGCTGGGGAGGCTGGGGTGGTGGAACATAGAGTGGCTTAACCGGTCTGCACTTCGGTGGAGGACAGCCAAATGGTCAAGGCACTTGGCATTTGTTATAAATGATTTAAGTGTTGTGGCTATAGCACCTCTGTGCTGTGTGACCTTGGATGGGTGACTCCACCTCTCTGAGCCTCAGTGTGATGCTCAGTGCTCCTCCTGCCCTGGAAAGTGGGATGGTATTAGCTGTTTCCCAGGCATTGCGAGGACTGAGTGAGATCGTACGCATTCCCTGGCACACGGTAAGAACTGGGGCTGTGCCAGCCCTTGCTGGCTGTTATGAGAATGAGCTCCCGTGTGCCAAGCCCTGGACTCAGGGTTGTCTGTGCCTGGTGAGGAGGGCTCGACTCTGACCAACACAGTGGGAAACGGAGCTGCCTGCCGGCTCAGCGGGCGGAGCTGGGGCCTGGTCCCTGGCCGGGCACCCTGGCCCTCTGCACTCGCCACCCGCCCTGCCCGCTCCTGCACAGGGCATCCGCGTTCTCTGTGCTGACTCCCCGGGAGAGGGCTCCTGTGATCGCACCCGTCTGCGACCAGGCCATAGATGCCATTGGCATGAATGTGGCGCGTCTTACCCACAGGCAGCCCTTTAGGAGCTGCCGTCATCACCCTGCCCCTTCATCGCCAGCGCCCTAGGCTGGGTCCTGCCCTGGAGCGAAGCCCTGCCCGGGTAGGCAGGGGGGATGGTGCCAGAGCTCGCCCCTTTCCCAGACTCCTCACCTGTCCCTCCCGTGGCTGCTTCTGCCCTGTGCTAGAGAGCAACAGAAGAAACAGAAAGGTCGCTGAGTCCCTGTGCTGTCACTGTACAGATGTGATCTCTGAGATCAGAGAGAGGAAGCAGTTTGCCTGGGGTCACACAGCGTGCCGTACAGAGCAGGCGCCTGGGGCTCCAGACCCTCACTTTGTGCTTCTGGGCCCGGCACTGTGCTGAGCACCTCCTCCCGGGGCAGGTACAGCCGGGACCTGGAGGAGGCTGGATCGAGCCCTGGTTGGTCCCTAGACCTCTGTGCCGCTGGGCAGGCTGCCATACATGGGCACTGCGCCTCCGCCTCTGGTGTTGTGGTGAAGGAGTTCTCCTTCCTATCCCCTTCCCCTGCCCGGGAGTTTTGTCTCCGGGGACCTCAGGTGTAGGCGTGGTCCTGGTTCCCACCCAGCGGGCTGGTTCGGAGTAGCCAGGTAGGCAGCGGTAGGTGTGGCTGCCGTAAGGGCCCTCCCCACCCCCGGCCGGGCCTGTGCCCGTGGAGTGGGGTGCCTGTGGCTCCATGTCTTCGGCAGCGCTCATAGCTTGCTGCGCTGTGGTTGATCTGAAGCACCCCCGGTCACAGGTGAAGAAAGGAGCCCCAGGAGGTCAGGGACTGCCCCAAGGGGAGGCGCTGAGGTCAGAGCCTGGGCGTCCGACTGCACAGCCCATGCCCAGCCCTGCGTGGTGGGACGTGGGTCAGCCCGACATCAGCCTCCTGGGCCACCCTGCAGGAGGACAGCTGGGCTGGGGACAGGGACGCAGCAAAGTCCACTCTTGCAGTTGATGGCCAGGATGTGTAATAGTCACTCTGTCCCCACAGTCTCCTTGAGGAGCAGCCCTGCCCTCTGCCTGCTGGCAGAAAGGGGCTTGGGACAGACCGGGGAGGGGACAGGCCTTCCTGCACCTGCCCCCCGCCCCCGTTCCGTGCAGCTCTCAGCTTGCAGGCCTCAAAGAGATGTGGCAAACTGGGCATAGTGGTACACACCTATGATCCCTCACTTTGGGAGGCTGAGGCAGGAGGATGGCAAGCTTGAGCCCAGCCTGGGTGACTTAGTGAGATCTTGTCTCTAAATAAAAAAGGACTGGAGATGGAGCTCAGTTCAGAGGCCACAGGTTCAATCCCCAGTTCTGGGGGAAAAAAATAGGAAGAGAAGGGCATCAGGGGTCTGCTGGACACCCAGGGATGGGCATCAGCATGGTGACACACACCTGTGATTCCAGCACTATGGAGGCTGAGGCAGGAAGGTTACTGTGAGTTTAACACCAATTGAACTACATACCAAGATCCTATCTCAAAAAATAAAAAATTAAGTGACAGTATGTGTAAAGTCCCTGCTGCAGGACCTGGCTCCCAGTAGGATGGAGAAAGTGGAGCCCAGCCCTGGCCCAGGGAGGCAGCGGAAGCAATAAGAAGCCCCCACACCGTCCCCACACCACACAAACCCCTGAGTCCTTGGCCAAGCCCGTGGTAGATGCTGTGACCACCTCCGGGCAGCGCTTGGGAAGGAGCTCAGTTTCACCCACGTGGTCGCCCTGCCCTGGCCAGCAGCGGGGCCTCAGCACATCCTTCCCCATGGGCCTGTTTGCTCATCTGCTGCCTGGCTGTCCAGTCCCCGCCCTGAGTCCCTCCTAGGGCTGCTAAGAACTGGTGCGGGCACTGGGTATCAAACACGCGGAGCCTCGTGATCTCAAGTGCTCGGTGCCGCGCACTCCCCAGGGTGGGCAAGGGCTGCACCCCATGGCTTCAGACCCCAGCGCCTGGTATACAGTAGGTGCTCAGTAAACGGAGGCTGAACAGAGCAGAGCGCTGTGCAGTGAGGGCCGTGAGGGTCAGATGTCAGGGGTGCTGGGGAGGTGCTGGCAGGTGGGGTGCTGGGGGTCACAGATGGAGGTCAGGGCTGGGGCACCTGCCCCGGGGAGCAGGTGGGAGCCTGCACCTCCTTGATCTTACAGCTCCGCACCCCCCTTGCCAGAACTGGAAGTGGCCCTGGGCAGCCCGAGGCTGGAGTGCGGGGTGGTGGTGGGGGTGCTGTGGGCCCTGAGCCTCGGTTTCCTAAAATCCACAATGCAGAGGGCTCACAACCACACCAATGTGAGTGGCCTTGGGCCAGCCACCTTTCGGCTACGAGAGAAGTTGTGTTTTTAATCTCCGTTTTAAAATTGAAGACAGTAAGACTCAGAGAGGCAGAGTAATTTACCCAGCGTCACACAGCAGAGCAAGGGCATAATCCTGGCACATCACCATTCCCCGGAGAGGGGTTGTCACCATCCCTTCCGCCACCCACTGCAAGTGAGGGGCTGCCGCTGGGCCTCCTGGGGCAGGGTCCCTGGGAGGACTGAAATGGCCTTGCGTTTTGCAGGTGGAGCACCATGGAGGGGGACTGTCTGAGCTGCATGAAGTACCTGATGTTTGTCTTCAACTTCTTCATATTTGTAAGTGGCCCAGGGCCCCCGCCTCCGCTGCTGTGGAATGGGCAGGGGCTCAGCCATGGGCCTGGGGTGCCAAGTCCTGGGGCAGGAGCCCATGGCACCGCGGGGATGGCCACTCGGACCCTGGGGTGTCGCCCCACGCAGCCTAGCACCGACAGAAGCCAAGAACTCCCGGGGCCGCAGGTTCAAGTCCCAGCTCCGTGGCTGCCCAGCCCTGTGACTTGGAGCTTGAATCTCGCCTCTCCGAGCCTAGTGTCTCAGTGATCAGCCCCCAAGGGCCTTTGCATAGCAAGCAGAACCCGTTCGCCAAGTGCCTGGGGTGTAGTCGGCCTCTAGCCACTGGCTCCTTCGCCACCCTCTGCCCCCCAGGCCACGGGCTCAAATCAGCGCCAAGCATTGGTTCTCACCACAGTGGACCCGCTGCCATTCTGTGCCGCAGGCAAATGGGACAGACACTCACTGATACTTGCTGGACACACTCACACCCATTTTATCCTTTCTGCCTTGGGAGATGGGAATGCAGTCTCCTTTTAACTGAAAGGAAGCTAAGGCTCAAAGAGCTTAGGCCACTCACCTAAGGTCACACAGCTTGTCAGTGGCACAGCCCTTTCTCAGGACTAATTGCCTCCCTCCCAAGACACATGAGACATGGAGAAATACTGGCCGTGCTAACAAAGACGTAAGTGAGAACGTTTCTCCAGCTGCAGATTTGACAGTGGGAACCCAACGTCCTGCTGAGGACAATGACAGTGACCTTGTCTGTCGCCCAGGCCCTAGTGCGGATGGCACAGACGCAGCATGGATCTCAGCTTATGTCTGTGGACCTCCGTTGAGTGTCGCAGAGGCCTGGTGTGTAGCCCTGACTCTGCCACAACTTGCTGTGTGACCTTCAGTGAACTGTCACCCCCCCAGGCCTCGGTGTGCAATTGCAGGGGTGAATGAGGTGACCCCGGGGCCCTGTGGCTCGGTCACTTAAGGCAAACAGAAGGAGCAAGGGGAGGCTACAGGGGTGGGCCTCAGCGGCCACAGGCAAAGAATGGGTCAGACATTGGACTGAGACAAAACCTCAGGGCCGGGTAGCGGGCAGGCTTGCCACAAGCAAAGGCAGTGTCTGGCCAACAACATCTGCCCGCTAGCCTGGTGCTGAGTGCTTCTGCCCCTGCCCGCTGAGGGCAAGGGTGCAGGGGGAAAGTCTCACGTCCACGTCCGCCTTTTCTCCTTCTCCCTGCGTGCAGCTGGGAGGGACCTGCCTGCTGGGCGTCGGCATCTGGGTCATGGTGGACCCCACCGGCTTCCGGGAGATCATAGCTGCCAACCCCCTGCTCGTCACGGGTGTCTACATCCTCCTGGCCATGGGGGGCCTGCTTTTCCTGCTCGGCTTCCTGGGCTGCTGCGGGGCTGTCCGAGAAAACAAGTGTCTGCTGTTATTTGTGAGTAGCCCACCCCTCACCCCACCCATGGGTGCCCTGCCTTGGGAGGTGGGGGCCTGGCTTCCACAGAACCCCATGAGTCTTGCCCACACTTAGGGCTCTCCACCCCAGAAGGGACCTTAAAGATCAGGACCTCCTGGGGGCTGGGGTGCAGCTCAGTGGCAGAATTTCCCAGCACGGGAAGAAATGCAAATAAAATCAGTCGGCGGTCCCCTTGCAGTCCCTGCAGTGGCCCACAACTTGCCCTGGGTCCCCAGGGAGGTGTCACAGGCACAGAGCTGAGGCCTGCGAGGGGGCCCTGCTGCCCCTCTGGGAGCCGGCTTGGCTTCTGCAGTGGCTGCCTGCCGCCTCTTAGCTCCCGCCGGCCTCTGCAACTTCCCTCCACCGTGTCCAGCCGGGCCCACTCTGTGGGCACACTCCAGGGACTCGCGGAGGTCTGAGCTCATGGCCAGGGGGTCCCCAGCCCTTGCCACTTGCCTTTGGGCCCCTGTTCCCCAAGCCTGCCCCATGCAGGGTTTCTGCCTGCAGTTCAGAGGGGCTGCTCCAAGATGGGGGGCACTGCCAGGCCTCTCCAAGGCGTGATCATCTGAGAACACTCACATCCACCACAGCGTCTTTCCAATCTGAGATACAGAATTCCGTGGGGACACAGCTGGGCTGTGGAAGAATCTACTGCAGTTCCAAGACAGAGGTGCTGTGACCGGTGCAGCAGGTTCTTTTTTTGTTGTTCTTTTTTTTTTTTTTGGTTTTTTGGTTTTTCTCCGGTACCGGGAACCGAATTCACGACCTTGCACTTGCCAGGCAGGCGCTTTGCCGCTGAACTAAATCCCCAGCCTCTCGGTGCAGGTTCTTAGTCATTAAATGACAGTCCGTGGACTCCGATTAGGAGGGTGCTGAAGATGTAGCAGTGACCCGGGTGACCGTCCCCTCCCGGGAGGCCCGGCCCTGGGCGGCGGTCCAGCGTGAGGCTGGGGATCTGAGTGCACCGCACCCTGCTCCCTGGAATGATGGCCCAGTAGAGCGAAGGTCAGGGAGGCCTGGCTGGTCAGCGGAGGTTCTGTCCCGTCCCGCGGTAACCAGCACCCAGCTAGTGACCCACCCGGTGCAGTTTTCTGCATCCCGGAGAAGCCCAATCAGCTGCGAAATGAATGACGCGAGCCGGCCTGCGTTCTCTTTGCCCGGGAGCCCTGCGAACTTTTCCTGGGAGGGAAACAAAGGAGATGCGCGGGCGCCCCCTGGCGGCAACTTCCCTTCGTGTCGGTGCAAGCTGGGGGAAGTCTTGGCGGGGGCTTGAAAAAGGACCTGGAATATGGGTCCCAGGACGCGGCAGACCTCCCCTGCCGCCCCCGCTCCTTGGCCCCAGGGGCTCATTCATTGTTAATGGGCCGTCTCTGAAGCCAAGACAGGAAACCAGCGCGGTGCTCTTGGCTGGAGCGGGCGGGCCGCTAGATCTGCAGCTAAGTGCTCCCTGCGAGCCTGCCAGCTGGAAGGGACGCTGTCTGCTTAGTGCTGGGGAGGAGACCGAGGCGCAGGGCAGGACAGGGTCTGCATAGTCACCCTCTAGGAAGAGTGGGGCCTGGCTGCCAGGCAGGTCCTTTCCCCTGACCCTTATCCTCTTTGTCCATCTCCACATAGCGTCTGTCTGTCTGTCTGTCCGTCTTTCCCTGTCCCTCTCCTGAGTGTCCTTGCCTCTGTCGTCTCTCTGCCCTGCTCGTCCACCCAGGTCTGAGTGCTGGCCAGAGGCAGGGTCACCGGCATCCAGGTCACCTGACCCCCAGATTGGGCCCTGTGCGGGGCCCTTGGCCTCGAATGCACTCAGAGGGTCCAAAGTTCATGTGTGCAAACGTCCTGACAGGGCCTGCGTGTGTGCGCGTGCGTGCTCACGGAGCATGTGGCATGTGCCTGTGTGTGTACTGTCACAAGCACGCTGCATGGCGTCACATGTGCCATGTGTTCATATTTGTAGCGTATTACTCATATATATTCATACGTGTCTTGGTGCTTGCGTGCCCACACACATGTACTGCAAGTGTCTGGCACACATGTGCGTGTTTCGTGTGCATGCATTACGTGCACTTGTATGTGTTGGGCATCGGGTGTGTGGGTGTCGATCGGAGAGAGGTTCTGGGCGAGTGGACGCTGAAGTACTTAGGATTTAAGGAAGGTTCATGACCTAAAAACTCAGGAACCACTTATCTCTCCCAGCCTGGAGCTGGTCGGAGAGGCCCGGAGTCGTCCCCCAGGGCCCTCGGGTCCTCCTGGAGCTGGAAGGCTGTGCTACTCTGGAGGGAGAAGAGAGCAGGTTTGGATGCCCAGGACGCGGACTCAGAGGCCTGTGACAAAGATGCCTAGAGATGGTTCGCGAGCGCCCCCTGCCGTCTGTTCGAGGGCTGACAACCCATAGGAAGAGGGACCTATGACGGTCAGCTGAGGACGATCGGCTGAGGACCGTGTTACCCGGCGCCCCATTTTTCTGGAAGCGCAGTTTCCCGATCCTCACACGCCCCTCGACCAGGGGTGCGTGGTGTGGAAATCACACGTCACCCCCTTTTCTGACTATCTCAAGGAGTGTTTTCAGCCAATTCATTCAAAGATCTTAATTTTAAAAAATATTTTTCAACAAAGGCATGCCAAGTTGGAAAAGAAAACAGCAAAAAGGAGGAATGTATTTAAAAAATAGACGAGCTGACTTGTACGTGAAGTATGTAAATTCGGTAAATATTTATTAGAAACTAGAACCGAGAGCAGCCGCGGCTCACAGATGGAAGAAAAAAACCCCGCAATGCTCACACGCGGCGAGACAGCCGCTTCCCGCCGAGCAGGTTCCTGCGTGGTGTGTGCACTCCCACGGGCGTGGCCGTGGGCAAAGGTGACGAGCCACAAGGACACAGGCACGCACCCTGGGGGCCCCCAGATCGCCAGTACCTCGCCCAGCGCCTGCCCGCAAGGGCGCGCTGGACAAATCGCCCTGGACGGAAAGGACAAGAAGGAGGCTGTACCTGAGATACGGGTAAGAGAGAGCTTTGGAGTCTAGGCTGAGCCCTGGGGCTGGTTCCTTAACCTCTCCGGACCTCACATTTCTCCTGTGAAATGAGGACAGCCACACCTCCTTCCTAGCTGAGGTGTGTGTCGTGTCCGTGATCCAGTGGGAAAGTGCACGCCCTGCCTACCTGGGCGCCCGGCTCGCATGCGCACCTGACAAATGGAAAACCGGACAGCCGGCCTTGACCCAGAATGGACCAAGCAGGCTGTCGGGGAAATCTAAGACCCGGAAGCCCGTATGACTTCCAGGATAACGCGATGCTAAGAAGCTGTGTTTAGCCCTGAGGTGATGGCCGCCCGCTGTGCCAGCCGGAGGACGCACTGCAGCTCCCAGAGCCACAGCCTCTTCCATAAAATGGGACGCCGCTGACGGGGAGCTGCTTGCCAGGGTGCTGGAAGGGGTTGGTGCACCAGATCAGACCCATACCAGCTGTCCCAAAGATGTCCATATTCATCTCGATCCTTCACCCACATTTTCTTATTGGAGATGCAGTCCGGCCTTGAGGATCGCACACGCGCCCTAGTGATGAGCGCCTGGCGCATTCTTGTGGGGGTTGTGCGCCGGCGTCGCGGATCGCGCATGCGCCCCAGTGATGTGCGCGAGTGAGCGAGCGGTACACTCGGCCTCCATCATCGCTCATCTCCGGCCCAGCCGTGACTTGCAACCCCAGCCCGCACCGTGGACGAAGACCATTTCCGGGAGTGCTCTTCGCCGGCCTGAAGATCTGCCAGCAGCCAGGAGAGGACAGAGAGCAAGAGCGGCTCCTTATAGACATGGGCCAGGGCGATGGAACCGGATGACCGTCCATCACCAGCTAAATGGAGGTGCCAGGCCCCCTGCCAGGGGCTCCATCACTGCCACTGGAAGGAGAGGCTGGAGAGGCAGAGGGCACCGCCTTCCGGACCACCCAGCCCAAGAGCCAGTTAGACTTACGGGAGTGCGGACCCTCGGGTGACAGAATGGAATGTGGGTGTCCTGCAGGGGCGGCCGCAGAATGGAGTGCGGGTATCCTGCGGGGGGCGGCCGCCCCAAGCCCAGGAGATGCTGTGCCCCATTCCGCGGGGCTCTGCAAATGGCAAGGAGTGAAGGCAAAGGCCCCTGCTCTTTCTTCTGCCCCACTCCCCAGCCCCAGCCTGAGATCACCCCGCCTTCGGGATGTGCCGGAGCTCTGGCTGGAGGCAGAGCTGGGACATGTGCCTCAGATCAGTCTGAGCAGGAGCTTCTCTGTGGATTCGGACATTTTAAAAACAGCCGATTTGCCAAGTCTAGGAGTTGTGTCCTGGCTGAGGATTCCTAAAGGCATGCATGGTTCTTCCATGGCTGAGCAGTGCAGGACCCCTAGGGTTCCCTAGGGTGGAGATGAAGTGACAGCTTCTAACCGGAAGAGACACATTCCAAGGCATCATCGGTGGTCCAGAGGGCGCTGGGAGGTGGCTGTGCCCGGTTCATGGTGTGAGCCAGGCCCTCTGCATTGTCATGAGCCCCCAACTTGTCACATCCCAACAAGTTGCACCTTCCCGTTGTGACACCATAACCCCAGGAAGTGGGTACACACAGCCCCATTGTATGATGAGAAAAACTGAGGCTGGAAGGGATGTGAATAAAATTGTCCAAGTCACACAGGACTAGGAAGGAGGGACCCGAGGCTTCCGGACACAGAGCCAATACACCTGCCCCCTTCGAGCTGGGCACCTCTAGTGACATCTGCACGGCTTCCTGGGTCCCTGGGAAGGGTGTGGGAAGGCGCCCTCGAGGGCACCAGGGATCAAGTCTTCTACTGGTGGCTTCCTGGCACGGTGACAGCAGACTCTGCCACTGCCAAGGAATGAAGGCAAAAGTGCTTCCCCTTTTTTCTGCCAGCAGCACCAGCAGGGACCCTGATGTAGCAAAGTCACAGACGCCACAGCGGCCTGCCCTCTCCTGGACGTGGTCATCTACCAGCCTGCGATTGGAGCTAGTGTGTCTCGCACACTGGGTGTGCAGCGTGCGTGGTCACAGTCCCGGTGCTGGAGGCCTGGCGGGGATGTCACTGGGCACCATGATGGGGCCGGTTAGGACTCGGGGTCACAAAAAACTGCTTGCTGGAAGCAGCTGAGACATAACCGGATGTGGAAAGCAAGGTGTCAAAAGGCAAAGGTGGCTGGGGTCCTCCGTGAAGATACCACCCGGCGTGTGACAGCCCGACACGGAGCCAGCATGGGCAGTCTGAGGGGAGCAGAGGGGGCTGGCGGTTGGATATCAAACTCCAAGGCCTTGGGTTTTCAGGTTTTGATGGCCATGTGACCTGGCCTCCATCTTGCTCCTTTATTTCAGCTGAAGATCAATGTGACCTCCTTCCTTCCCAGGACAAGCAGAAGAGTGGCAGGGAGAGATGGCCCTGGAATTCTCAAGAGCTCAAGATTCCCACAGCCTGGACAGTCACCTGGAGGGAACCCAGAGGGGTTTCACCCACAGCCTCTTTCTAGGGCTGCTAAGTAGGGTTGTTCAGGTTGCACACTGCACCAAAGGGCCTCTGTAAGTGGTATATGTTACTATAGGTGCATGTTATTGAGGGTATAGTCATTTGTTCACTTCTGTCATATTCTTTTCAACTTTGCTGACTCCAAGGATGGATCATTGGGATGTCTATCATGAGAAATGTCTGGTATATGGCAGGCCAGTCTCTTAGTCAATTAGGCGACCGATGGAAGGGTGCATGGTCAAGCAGCCGCCCTGCCCCGGGCTCACGAGCTGGCCCCTGTCTTTGCAGTTCTTCCTGTTCATCCTGATCATCTTCCTGGCGGAGCTCTCAGCAGCCATCCTGGCCTTCATCTTCAGGGAAAACGTACGTCCCAGCCGGCTGTCCCATCCCCGCTACCCACAAAGGGCTCACTGGGGACCAGCCAAAGCCGCCTCCCCTCCTCAGTGGTCCCACAGAGCAGCCCCATGCAGTGTCTCCCGAAATGCCCTCCCACCCACAAAGACCCAGGAACCTCTTCCGGCCAGGGCATTTCCAGAGGCCACAGAGGCAGGAGGCTGAAGGGTCTCTGCTGAGGAAGCTGGAGCAACCTTGCCTCGCTCTGGAGTCTCCTCCCATGCCCTACGTAATGATGGCACAGGGACAGTTGTCGGTCTGAGGACGGTCAGTGAGGCCGTCGCCTGACCTTGGTGTATACAAAGTGTAGGACCAGGGGGCAGAGCACTTGCACAGGGAGGCCCTGGTTGGGTGATTGATTGCTGAGGCTCCACTCCCTGGGCCATCAGTTGCGCCCCGCAAGTGGACATCACAGGAAAGGCAGCAGGCGCTGGAGAAGGGCCAGGGGCACCAGAGCTCACAGACACAGAAGGGAGAGGAGGTGGCGCCCATAGGCTCCACGGTCCCCTCCAGTGGGGAGGAAGCGGGCACCTGGGAGGGAATTTTCAAAATAACAGTGATGCTCCCAAGAGTGGCGGGGAGCTGGTTCTGCCTGGGGGAGCTGCTGAGTGGATGGAGTAGGGTGAGGGGCACCCCAACCCCTAGCCCTCTCTCCGAGAAGAACTGTGGGACTGGGCTCATCCCCAGCATGTCCTGACCCCAGGATTGTGAGGCCTTTGTCCAGGGCGTCCTTGTCACTTCAAGGGGAGGCCACAGACCTGGGGAGGGGAAGGAAGCCTGGTGCCCTCACTCTCACCTGCACCCCAGAAAATACTTGGGAGTTGAGGGCAGGGCCAGGTGGCACCCAGCGTCAGTGTCAGCATCTCCCCTCTGTCCCCAGCTCACCCGCGAGTTCTTCACTAAGGAGCTCACCAAGCACTACCAGGGCAGTAATGACACAGACGTCTTCTCCTCCACCTGGAACTCCGTCATGATCACAGTGAGTGCCCCTGTGCCCCCAGGGATGACTTCCTGTTCCTGTACCCATGCCAGACATCAGCAATCGATCCCAACACTCAGCCTCTAAGCCCAGACCAATCGATCCCAGAGCCTTATCGCACCCCATGCAGCCAGGGCCAGGCGGTCACAGTCCCGAGGCGGGGTGTGACCTGTATGCAGCCAGTCACCATCACTGAGGATGAGAAGAATGAATGAGGACCCCGCAGGTTCAGAGAGGCTGAGTGACTGTCCCGCAGCCACACAGGAGGCCAGATGGAGCCAGGCCAGCACGTCCCCTGACCCCTCCTCTTGAGGTACCTCTGCTCCAGCCCCCGCCCTGTTCCCTGCTCTCCTCCAGTTTGGCTGCTGCGGGGTCAATGGGCCCGAAGACTTCAAGCTGGCGTCAGTGTTTCACCTGCTGACCCCGGACAGTGAGGCGGTGCCCGAGGCCTGCTGCCGGAGGGAGCCACAGGCCCGGGACGGCGAGCTGCTCAGCCGCGAGCGATGCCTGCTGGGCGACAGCCTGTTTGTAAACAAGCAGGTGCGCCGGGGCGGGGCGGGAGCTGGGCTCCGGGGCCTGAGCAGGGGCGAGTGTGAGCGTGGTCCCTGGCTGTCGGCTCTGCAGCAGGGCTGGGGCTGAGTAGTTCCGAGTGTCCTGAGCTCCTGATGGCGCGGGTTGGGGGTGGGCAGACACACATGGGCTAGCCACACGCTCACGTTCCTCACGGAGGAACGCCCCACTGTCTGAAGGGAGCCATGTCTCCTGACATGGCCTCCAAGCTCAGGGACGCTTTGACACGTCTCTGCTTTGCTTGCAAGCTGTGGGTTTGTCCCTGGAAGAAACCCTTGTTCTTCCAGCATATTAGAGAAACGGTCCCTCTCGCCTGCTCTGGCTTTGCATATCCCCGGGAGGGACTTGGGTGAGTCCCGCCAGATGGCCATGTTTGGGGGTCTCCTGCCGCCCACCATCCAGTCCCGCCTGGCCGCGGCTTCACCTCAGTCCTTTTCCCCCAGGGCTGCTACACAGTGATCCTCAATGCCTTCGAAACCTATGTCTACCTGGCAGGAGCCCTGGCCATAGGGGTGCTGGCCATCGAGGTAAGTGGAGGCCCCACGTTTGCTGCTCCCCAGAAGGGAGCCCCACATGCGGCCTGGAGCAGACCCCACAATCTGCACCCCCAGCTGCGGTCACCTCCCGTCCGCACTTCCTTCACCCATGACAGGGGTCCCTGCTGCGCGCATGGGGCTGTGAGCCCCGCCGCACCTGCTTGCCACCTGAGTCATCCTGGGACTCCGCAAATGGCACAGCCAAGCATGGGAGGCACTTAGTCACACAGCGGCGAGGACAGGCGGGCCCTGAGGCGCCCCTCCCTCACACCCTCCCCACTCCCGAGGTGCAGGGGCATCTTTGGTGGGATCAGGGCAGCACCTCGAAAGGTGGCAGATGTCCAGGGCCCTAGGGGCCTTGTTAACCTCACAGTGGTGGTCTTAGGCCCCTCCACCCGAGAGCCCCTGAGCCTCCTGTAAAGGTGAGCTGCAGCCAGGTGTGGGGGTACACACCTGTAACCCCAGCACTCTGGGCGCCTGGGGCAGGCAGATTGCAAGTTTAAGCCCAGGCTGGACAACATAGCGGGATCCTGTCTCAAAGTAAACAATATAAAAAGGGCTGGGAATACAGCTCAGTGCCAGGGCCCTGGGTTCAAGCCCCAGAAATGAAAAAAAAAAAACAAAAAAACAAAAAAATAGAACTGCTGCAGACTGCAGAGCCACCAAGAGATGACACTTAGCAGAGAGGCTCTGTTCCCCCCACCCATGATCTGACTGCTCTGTAAAGGGAACCGAGCCTTGCTCACCCCAGCCCTGCTCGTCTCCAGGAGGGGCCACAATGAAGGAGAAGCAGACAGGTCCCCCGGGGGTGGGGGAGATGTGTGTACTCGCAGTGCCAGGGCCTGCTCGGAAAGGCATGCGGGTCTTGGAGAGACACCTGTACTGCGGTCGCCACCCTCATGCCCTCCAGCGCCCGTGGGCTGGGGTCAGGACCTTTGCTGCGGCCCTGGCCCTCAGAGCTGTGGGCGCCAGCCTGTGGCCTAGGATTCTCCCTGTGCTGCTCCAAGAAGTGCTGGGGTAGGCGGATTGAGCTGATCTGCTCAGAGGGAACCCTCTGAGTCAGCGTCTGCCGCCTCCTGCCCCAGGGCCTTGTGCTCTGCTCCTGACCCTGGGGAGGTTGCAGCTGCCTCGCTGCATTACCCGGATAGGTAATTGCCTGATACGTAAATCTCAGCTCCTCCTGGGAGCTGGAAGGTGGGGTGCAGGGCTCCAGAGATGAGCTCTGGGGTCAGCATGCCTGGGCTCAAGCCCAAGCTCCGCAACCTGTAGCTGTGTGGCCTTTGCCACTAGGTACCCTCTCTGTTCCTTGCTCCTTGGTCTGCGAAAAGCTTTCTGGAAAAGCACTTGGAAGTGAGCCTGGCACCAGATCCAGAGAAGGGAAGCCTGGCCCAAGTCACCACTGGTAGAGGGGGCAGCTGGATTCAGACTCAAGACTCTGCCACCAAAGTCCCCCTTCCCAGGAAGGTAGCCAGAGGTGTTTGAGGGGGCAGTGCCAGGAACTGCTGCAGTAATGTGACCCAGAAGCAGATGGCCCCTTTCCCTTTGAGGGGCCTGGACACTATGCACCCAGCCTGACAAGTCACCCTGTTTTCTTGCAGCTTTTTGTCATGATCTTCGCCATGTGTCTCTTCCGGGGCATCCAGTAGAGGGTGGGGCCTGAAGATGCCCCGCCCACCACTACCCTGCACCCACGGCTCTCTCCTCCCCCACCCTACGCCCTGGCCAAGGGGAGGAGAGGCGGCTGCAGCAGGTGACCAGGAGAAGGGCTGGGCACAGAGCTATTTTTTTTTTAACAAAAACGAAATGAAGATAGAAATGTGGACATGGCCGCACTTGGACTCCAGGGCAGGGGCCACAGATTGATGCCAGGCTCCCAGCACTGACCCGCGATGCCCTCTGCCCCCAGGGGCCCAACGAACACTACGCCAGGGCCCTGCTGCCAAGGAAGCAAGGATTTGGGCGACAGGTGGCACAGCTGCCAAAACCCAAGGGAGACCTGTTGGCCGCACCTTTGAGGGCTCAGCACCCACAGCGCTACGCCTGGTCTCCTGGAGGGTGACGCAGATGCCCCCACTTCTGGCCAGGCCGAGGGGGCTGCGTGCAGGCACTGAATCCAGAGGGACTGCACTGGCTGAGTCCTTCCTTTCCTGTCTGCCGGACCAAACGCAACTCAGAGAGGGGCAGGGGGCTGTCCACAGTCACACAGCATGGGCCCAATAGCTATGAAGAGAGCCCAGCCAGCTCCAGGCTGCTGTCATTGCACCCAGGACTCCAGCAGACCTGCTGTCACACACCCCTGTCCCCAGAAGAGAGGTCAGCTGGCCAGAAACCAGCTCCTCCCAGCTGTCCAGTGAAGGAAAGTCGTACTGTGTCCCGTCCCCACCTTCCCATCTCCTGTACCTCCAGCTCCCCCAACACACATCACATCCCCTACCCACACTGCCCCATGGGCCACCCTCTCCCTGTCTCTCCCCAGCTCCCTCTCAGGGTGGAAGAAACCCCCAGGAAGATTGGATTCTCCTTCTCCTCACCCAGAACTGAGGCTTGGATGTGTCTGCCAAGAATTCTCCTTCTTGCATACCTCCTGAGACGGAGAGCTCACTACCTCCTGAGGCACTCTCTGCCTCTGGACTGCTCTGACTTTGGCATCACTAGACAGAAGAGGCTTCTGTTTGTGGTTCTACCCACACCTCTGTTTGCTGTCTCCCTTCTGGAGTGTTCAGGCTGCACGATGATGCCCCCCAGCCTCCCTGTCTACTGGCTGTAGAACCCAATGGTATCTCAGCCATTTCTGCTGTGACACCGTTTCTTGTGCTTTTGTCATCCACAGGACATTTCAGTGTTGCTTCCAGGCTCAGGCAAAAATTTTTCCAGACTCACAGGTTCCCATCCACACAACACTCCCAAATATACAAGTGTCATACTCTAGACCAGTGTGGTAAGATGCCTCCACCCTAACAATCGGTGGCTGCCAGGAGTTATGCTGATGCTGAGCTTTAGTCTGTGCCTAGTGGGAGAGGGCAATGGAATCCCTACTAGTGATGTCTGATGGGCAACTTGAGTTTGATCAGTGATGTCTGATAGCACCTTGCATTTGATTAGTGATGTCTGGTAGGTACCTTGAGTTCGATTAGTGATGTCTGTTTCTGTCGTGGGCGTGGGAGGAACAGTGTGGTACCTGCTGTCCTCTCTATCCCTCTTCAGATCCCAGAACTCATTGTGTCTGTCCCTGTCCCATTGTCCAGCCACCTGGAGAAGAGCTGCTGTCTGGAGTCCAGTGCTCCCTGCCTCTTGTCAGATGCAGCCAGCCCTGTGCCCACTGCCCAGATCTGGCCTCCCCACTTCATCCTGCATCTCTGAACTCCATCTCACCGAACTGTCCCTTTAACAGTCCACCCTAGCAATCACCATATAAGATGCCATGTGCTCCCTGAGGCTGAGGTCCCAGGGTCCAGGGAACCTGGCTGTGGTCCCTGGCCCTCTCTGGACACACTTAGCCCCAGATCCTGGAAAAGGCAAACGGCTGCTCTGAGGCTGATCCCAAGCCCCATCCCACTCCCAGCCAGGCAGGACTGAGCCCAGCTGTACTCAGGGGCGCCCCAGAGAGGAGGCAGAGGCGGGGCCCACTGGCCAAGGTAAGCTCATCCTCCAGGGCTCTCCAGAAAGGTGCCAAGGACGCTAATTAGCCCAACTCGGCCCCAAAGCCAGGCCTTTGTGGCTGGAAGGAGGCAGACCTGTCTGTGCTGTGGAGAGCCACTGCCTCCAGAAGGGGCACGTCGTACAGGGCACGGGCCAGGGACTTGCACCCTCCCCAGGAGCCCTGTGGGCAGCACCTGGTCTCATGCTTTGCCCCTCTCCACCCGTGCCCAGGGGCGCCAGGCCGGACCCCCCTCCCTCCCCGTGGTCACACATTGAAAGTCTATTTTGAAGTCTGTAAATGTCCCTCACAGTCCACAACAGAGCTAATTTATCATGGTTTTCTCCCGCAAGCCCCCCTTTTTATATTCTATATCAAGAGCGCTTTGTAATATAAAACAGGACACCCACACGGATGGTTTTGCACTGGTTTTTGTGACTGTTTCTTACAAAAAGAAGGAATGAAGAATAAATAGTGACCGTGAATAAAGATGGTCCTGACTCCGGAGCGGGGTGGCCCAAGCAGAGGCGGAAGCTGGATAGGGTACTGGGCTCCACAGGGAGGGGCTGGCCAGGGTGCCCCAAGCCCAGTGGCAGAGTGGGGCCCGCCTGGCCCTCCTCACTAGGCATGGGGTGCCTTGTCCTCGCTGCCTCCTTCCCAGGCACCAGCCCTCTGTGCCTTAATGTCCCCCGGTCCCCACACATCCGCCAGGCCTTATGTGACTCCCAGCCCCCAGCTGTACCCCAGGTGCACAGCAGAGTTTAAAGCACGCCTAGGAAGCCCAGGACCCAGTACAGCCCCGAAAGCTGAGGCTGCAACACCCTCCCGACCACAGTGGGTATGGGGTTGGCCAAGGAAGCCCACCAGCATGCCCAGCGGCAGTGGCAGCCACCTGTCACCCCAGTGAGGAGCGGCTGGGCCTCAAGGTCTGACACAGAAGGGGGCTGGGGCTTTGGCTGAAGACAAGGCAGTGGCTCCTGTCGGCAGAGGGCAGTGGGACTCCAGGGACAAGAGTCAAGAGTGGGACGCCAGGCAAGAGGGGTTCCCACACTGCTTGGCTACCACTGGGCCTCTGCTTAGCTGTGACTGGTGGAGCCACCTCCCCGCCAGGCATGCACACATCACTGGCTACAGGACGGAATGGTCTCCCGACCCTACATGTCTTGGGGAAGGGGTGGCTGGCTGAATCGCTTCTATTTATGCCCGGAGCTGAGGAGTCCGAGGGCACAAATCTCTGCCCATCCAGGCCTTGGGGACAGCTCCCAGGGAGGGGCCAGGCAGCCAGAGGGGAACCAGGCCTTGGAGTATGTGTGGAGGGACGAGGGGACACACCTGCTTTTCCTCCTCATCTCCACACCCGTCACCTCCACCAGCCCCCGCCCACCCCGTTGTCTGTGTGTCCCTTTGCAGGGTGGGGGGTCTCACGTGCCTCTGTACCCAGTTGGGGGAGGGGCCGGGGCCTGGGCAGGGCAGGAAGTGTGTGCGGGTTCCCCGCCTCCACAAAGGTCCACTGCAGCCTCCGCCGGGCGTGGGAAGGGCACGTGCCGTGTGCTTGGTGCGCAGTGGCCTCACGTGGGGAGGCTGTGGCTGCAGGTGGGGGATCAGGGTCACGTTCTTGGGTTGTCCAGGCATAGAGGGCAGCTCTGAGGGGTGCTAGAGCGTTCTGCAGGCTCTCACAAGACAGGAGGGCTTCCTAGCAGAAGAAGGGGGCCCCCTGGCTCAGCCCACATCCCAGGACTCCGCTCTCCAATCAGGACCTGTGGAGGGCGCCTGGAGCCCAGAAAAGGGGGTATCCCTGTGGAGTAAGGAAGTGGGGTACAGACGCCTGTCTCCCCAACCGACCTGTCAGCCTGGAAGCCCAGGACGCCACAGCCCCAGGGGAGGGCTCCAGAGGGAAGGGGCTCGCCCTGCCTGCCGGGGGCACTGTGGCGGGGGGGAGGGGCTGCCTTCCAGGAGTCAGGGGACACAGACGCCCCAGAACTGACCCAGCCCAGCATGCGCAGGTCCCTGGCCCCACTAGACTTTCTTGGGCTTCCGGCCGACTTGGTAATAGTAGTAAATGCTGATGGCCACGAAGAGGAGGCGGCTGGCCAGGAGCACCAGGATCCCCACGGACACCAGGCCCGTCTCAGCCAGGGTGGCAGCAACCACTGCGGGAGAGGGGCCAGGCGGGAACAGGTCAGAGGGGAGGCTGTGGCTGCCTCTCCGCGCCGCTCTGCATCTGGGGTCCTGCCCCTGCCCCCCAGCAGCCTCCCTTAGGGCCCACCCACGACTCACCCACAAACTGGACCCCAAAATAGCAGGCTTCCATGAGCAGCGTCCACCGGATGATGACCTTCTCGGCCGTGTAGAGCGCGTTCCACATGATCAGGGAGATGCCTGCACGGGGCCAGAGCAGAGCGGACAGCCTGGTCCCTGTCACCCCAACCCACACTCGAGGTCATAGGCTGTCGTCCTCTGCCTGTCTCCGCCGGGTCCCTCCCTGGCACGCGGTCTCCACCAGCGGGAATGGGGAGCCAAGCCCTCCCCTGGGCTGTGGGCCGTGCAGGCAGGACCTGGGACCCCGGGGCTCAAGCCACGGCCTGCCGCTGGGACACCGGTAGCCCGCACTCAGCCTGGTGGCCAAAAGCTGCCACCCACGGCCTCCAGGTGGCAGCAGACACCCAGCGGAGTTGCCCAGGAGGCAGGGCTGCAATGGGAAAAGCACTCCGGCATCCTCCTCCCCGCTCGCCTCCAGGGCCCCCAGCAGCACTCACTGAGGAGGGCGCCCCCGTAGAGGCGGATGGGGGTCTTGCTGGTGACCTCGGCGCCATCGAAGACAGCATCGTAGAGCTGGTCAGGAAAGGCCAGGGCCTGCGCACAGCAGGAGGGGGGTAGAGGCCGGGCTCGAAGGGGTGCACGCCTCCTGCCCCTAGGGCCAGAGCTAGGGACCTCGGGGCAGCCCAGGGCAGGGCACGGTCGCCCCTACCCCTCTACCCCAGGACAGAAGACTGCGGACCCCAAGGCCAGGAGTCAGGCCACAGACAAGGGACTGTTCGGTGGTCCCGGGCTAGGGACCCAAGGAGCTGTGTTGGCACCCGGGGGCCCAGGAACCACACCAGAGCCCCACCCTATCCGGGCCGGGTCCCAGGGGCTGGCGCAGAGCCTCACCATGAGGGCAATGCCGGAGAACAGCACTGCAGACACGAACTGCCAGAGCCTGCAGAGGGAGGGACACGGAGGGAGGTCACCGCCAGGCCCTACCAGCCAACCCGCCCCCTGGCCTGGGGACGGCCCCTCGCGTGCCCGGACAGCCAGTTTGGGGGAGAGGTAACACCATGAAATCCAAACGTGTCCCTTGCGTCCCTCCCACAACCCAGCCCAACTTCCCCGCAAAGCAAGACCCAGCTCAGAGCTCACCTGAGCCCCAGGGGCTCCCGGACGGCAAACTTGATCTCGTTGCCCAGGACCTGGCTGATCTGTGGACACGGGGAGGGTCAGAGGCCACCGGGAGGAAAGCAGCAGCCAGTGCACCCAGGGACCTGCCCGGGTAGCTCTGCTGGTGAGAAAGGCTGCCCCTCTCCTCCCTCCTTGGGCACCGAAGTTTAAGAGAAGCCGAAAATAAGGTCGCTAAGAACGAGAGCTCAGTGTCTGTCAGATGTGGGCTGTGAAGCCTGTTCCTGCCACCTGCCTGTGTGGCCTCCAGAAATGTGACAGCCTCTCTGAGCCTCAGTGTTCTCATCTGTAAAACGGGTGCATCGCTGCATCTACAACTCCAGGGCGGCAAGGTTAATGCTTCTACAGCAGCTGGCACCGCACAAGCAGCTCTGCTCACCCCAGCCTGCCGACGCCCAAGGGACCCACCTTGGAGCGGTGCACCTCGCCGTCATCATCCTCCCCGCCCACGCCTAGGATCTTCCGAGTCTTCAGGCGGCTCACAAGGTCCGTCTGACTGTGCTTCTTCATGAGCGGCGGGGGCTGCTTGGCTGTCATCATGTCCTGGAGCCCAAGCACGGAGGCTAGGGGGACAGAGCCGGCCCAGGTCAGCAGGCGGAGCAGCCTTGCAGTCACGCCTGGAGGAAGCCGAGGAGCCCACCCCAGAGGGCTTGGGATCTGCCCTGACAATCCCCGCTGCCCACCAAGTCCACTTCCCCCAAATCTTCAGGACTCCGCCAAGGGGCAGGGCATGGGCAGCCTGGACGTGTTGAGCTGGGGAATGGAGCAGAAGGGGCGGCGGAGCCCTGCCCAGGCCTCATCCGTCTCTGCCGGCAGCGGCCCCTCCCTGCCCCAGCCCTCGCCTGCCCATGTCTTTCACCGCTCCCCGACGCCAGGGCCCATCCCCGGCACCTACCGTGAGCCAGGTGTATGCGGGGCTCCAGTACGGAGCAGAGCGGAGCGGGTCCTGGCTTGTGGCTACACAGTCTAAAAAGAGACAGGCAAAGTGCAGGTCAGGGCTCGTCCACTGCGATTCCGCCCGTTCCGCGGACCCTGGAGCCAGATCCAGGACAGGGACCGAGGCTGGCTGCTGGGGAAACAGCCCCACAGGCTCGGAAGCTGCCTGTCCCTCCCCAGGGGACCTGCCACCCAGTACCCCGTGTGCTCAGGCCATCCCAGCCTCTGAGCCCCAACAGGGCTGCTGAGGCCAGCTGCACAAAGATCCCCACATCACCTCCATCGTCACGCCTACCAGTTCAGCACTATTTTATTTTTGATATACTGAGGGGAAAGACCCAGGCCCTTCTCATTAAGCTATGTGCCCAGCCCAGCTCAGCTCAGCTCAGCCCAGCCCATTTTTTAATTTTTGAGACAGGGTCTCACTAGGTCACTAAATTGTCCTGGCTGGGCTTGTGATCCTCCTGCCTCAGCCTCCCAGAGCCCTGGGATTATCGGAATGCCCCCAGCCTGCCAGTTCTTCAAATAAACAGCCAAACAAACAAATATCAGAACAAAGAATCCCACGGGGGGAGGGGCGTGACACAGTGCCTTCGAACGCAAGACACAGGGACAGGTGCACCAGCTCGAGTTGGGCAAGGACAGCAGAGGTCGACCCTGGGGGTCGCACATGGCCCTCCTCAGCCCCTGGCTTAGCTCCTGGGCTACAAGACCGCGTGCTGTTCTTGTCCCCTCCCCCTACACCCTGGGCCAGGTCCACACAGCACACAGAGGCACTCAGCCACCACTGTGAGGCCAGTCGTGGGGAGCCAGCACCAACCACAGTGCCCGAGTCACTCCAGCTCCCCAGAGCAGCCGCCTGACCCCACTCTCCCGATCCAAGGAGCAGCTGTGATTCGCCAGCGTCTCTAACCCTCCAGATGGCAGGCCAGGCTGCCTGCAAGGGCCACCAAGCCAGGGCCCCCTAGCCTGCCCCTCAGATGTCACCTGGTCCTCGCTCTTCCTCTTCCGGCCCCCCTCTGGCCTTTTTTACTTTTCCCCTGACTTTTTGAGACGGGGTTTCACTGTGTAGCCCAGGCTGGCCTTAAACTCACAGTGATCCTCCTGCCTCAGCCTCCAGAGTGCTGGGCTCACAGGTGTGTGCCATCACGCCCGGCCTCCTGCCTTTTTCTTAACACATACAGCCCAAGTGACTTGTGTTAGTGTGTGTTGTACAGCTGTGTACATTTTAGCATATAGGCAATTTGCACAGCCAGCACCTCCAACTCAGACAGGGCAGGTTTATTATCCCCCAAACACCCTCGCTCTGTCCCACCCTCGCCTTCCGGCTCCCCTGCTTGCAGCCAGGGTCTGTTCTGTGTCACTACAGCTCTGTTTTGGTTTCCTCAAATATGTTACATAAACGGAATCATAAAGTATATGACCTTCGCCGCAGCTTCTGCCGCTCAACACCATGTCTCTGAGATCCATCCAGGCTGCAGGGCTCAGAGGCCATTCATTTATTTTGCAGTACTGGGGACTGAACCCAGGGCCTTCACACTGTGCTCAAACTTGTGATCCTCCTGACTCAGCCTCCCTGAGTGCTGGGTTACAGCCGTGCACCACCATACCTGGCCTTGAGCCTAACAGTTCTTAAAGCAAAATAAGCAGCCAAGCAAATAAATACCACAACAGAGAATGTTGGAGTCAGTGACTCTGGATGCTACAGGGCCACGCTCAGTCACTAAACTGTCTGGCCCAGGCTCAAACTCACCATCCTCCTGCCTCAGCCTCCCAGAATACCGGGATTACAGGCATGCATCACCACTCCCACATGGTCAGTCTTTCTTTTCACCCTTTTTTTTCTCACTAGGTAGTTGACAGCTTTGTCCTGACCGCCTCTTCTGAGCTATGGGCCTGTTGGCAAGTACTTAATCTTTCCTTGCCTCGGTTTCCCCCCATGAAGCTGCCAAAAGAAGCGATCCTGCCTCAAGGGGATGTTGTGACAGTAAGAGCCCTGGGCTGTCTTCCCCTAGGAAACGGGGGCAATGAGAAGGCCCACCTTGCAGGAGCGCTAGTGGCCAGGGACTGGGGGTGTCCGGGTGGGTACGTCCGGGCTGCTGCTTGCCCCCGGGGCCGGCCTCGGCTTCCCTGTCCCTTTTCCACCTGCCAGGCGGTGCCCTCGGAGGGCCGGGCCCGGCAGCGCTCCTCAGCATCTCCAGCTGGGACCAGGCACACAGCAGGTACTTGGGCGACGCAGAGGAAGGAGCAGTGGCCTCCCTGACCCTGACCGCAGGAAGACAGGTGCAGGCCCGAGGGCGGGGTGCAACAGGGCGGGAGGCAGTCGCTGCAGGGCTGGGTCTCCTGGGCTGTCCAGAAGCTGGTGGTGCAGGGCAAGCAGAGCTGGGCCCCTCTCTGACCACCCCTCCAGGGGTTCAGGTGGCCTTGGACAAACTGTCACCTCCAGGCTCAGGGGCAGCCTGGGCAGCAGTGGAGAGAAGACTGGCTGGGGACGCTGGGCCTCCCCGCCCCCACAGCACAGGCCAGGGCTTCCGTGGCTTCCGCCCAGGAGGGATCATGACCCGGAGGCGCTGTGAGCCCTCTGCAGGCCAAGCTGGGACACCTGGGGGCCGGGACACCCGAGAGCCAACCCCTCACCCCCCTGCTGTGGCCTCAGGGGACACCTCCATGTAACTCCCAGAGACAGCAAGGCAGAGCCCGGCGAGGGCCCTGCGGGTGACCCAGGCCGGGAAGCGAGGGCCTAGCGGGAGTGCAAGAGTCAGCGGAGGGCGCCCAGGTGAGGCTGGGCTCTCTTTCTTAATGACTGGGAAACCCTGGGCTCTTCGGTGCACCGACAACCAGCAGTCAGCTTGTTAACACCCAGCTGAACTGAACCAGCGGGGTACTGGGTGTGGGAGGCCCACCTGAGGAGTGTTGCCCGGCCGCGTAAGAGGCAGAACGGGAGAAGAAAAGAGGCGGCTGAGGGCTGGTAGAAACTGCTAGAGAGCTGCTGGTTCTCTTGGGCTATTAATCTGGGGGACCTTGTCGTGCTGGCTTTTCTGAGGCACCTGGTTATTGTCATTGTCTGAGGAGCTCGGGACCTCGCTGTCCCTGAGAATGGCTTCGGTTCCCTTTGGGGGAGCTCTGGTCCTCACTTTGAGCATCGCTTCCTGGTTCTGGAAGGGAAGACGATGCACTGCCAGTCTCCGGGAGAATGGCTTTCCTGATGGGAACTCGGCTGTCTTCATTATTGGAGGAGCTCCAGACCTCACTGTCGCTGAGGATGGCTGTGGTGCCTTTTGGGGGAGCTCCGGTTCTTACTCTGAGCACCGCTTCGTGACTTAGTGCAGATCCCTCAGCCTGCTGGCACAGATCCTTCATCCCGCTGGCACAGACTTTCCAGCTTCCACCACTGACCTTTGGGCCTTCCCAGCACAGATCTGTAGACAGGCCTGCATGAGACGTTGCGGGCTCTGGGCCTCCAGTTGGACTCATGGGAGGCATTGTTATGGGCTCTAGGTCTTCAGCTGAACTCATGCAGGACATTACCATGGGATCCAGGCCCTCAGCTGGATTCTTTGGTCTTTAGTGTGTGAATAGATTTCCTGCACTCTCTTGCATATGATTCTTTGGGTGAGTATTATAAAATAATCTTTAAAAATATGTGTCCTGTATTATATTGTTTCCCCTTGCAAAAACCCCGAACTACAACAGGCTCAGAGCCAACTCTTTCTCTTCACTGCTCTGTGACATCAGGAAAGTCACTCAACCTCTCTGAGCCTGTACGTCTCTTCTGTGAAACAGACCATGGCTTCTACTCAGCTCACAGCTTTGTGATTTGCAATAACGAGACCGGCGATGAGGGGCTGGCTTCCAGTATATGCCCCAGGAAAAATGACGATCAGTGACATAAACAGGTGCCTGCCAAGCTGGGCCCCGGGCGGCAGTGGAGCCGGACAGGCCGGGCATCACTTCCCTGCAGATCCCAAGGACTTCCCCACAACTCCCTATCCTTCCAGGAAGCCTAGTTTCCATAGAAACAGAAGGACTGCAGCTCTGTCCTGCCTTGGAGACCAGGCCCAGAAGGACCAGCTTAGGAGCCACGGCCAGCAGGGAGGGAGGCAGGAAGGGACCAAACCTCCACCAGCTGCCAGCGTCCTGGTGACTCAAGGGGAGTCACCGTGCTGAGCACCCCCGCCAGGGAGCCACTTCCATTCCAAAGCAGGCTGGTTACAGAGGTAGCAACTGTCCCTCCCAGCTGGTGTCAACACCTGTCCCCACCTCCCCACCACATCTGTTCAGGGCTGGAGGGGGGTAGTCACGTGCACATGTACACCAGAGGTCCTTGTGTGACCTCCACCTATGAGAATGGCTGTTTACCCCCATTTCATAGATGAGAAAACTGAGGCCCAATGACACACTTAAAGTGTCCGTTGGGCTATGTGGTAGAGCTGGGATACAAACCAAGTCAACTGAGAAGAGTGCTTTACATGGGTGTGTTGGGAGGAGCTGGTGTGTGCATGCATGCGTGCACACGTGCATGTGTGGCAGAGGGAAAGGAGGGGACTCTGGTGAACTCAACCTCCCCTACCTCACCCACTGCACCCCAGCGAGCCCAGCCCCTGGATCCAGTCCACCCTAGGTCAAGGCCCTGGCAAAGGCAGCAGCTCAGCCCATTGTTCTGTTATCGCAGGAGCACAGAATAGCTGGAAGTGGGGTTCGGGTCCGGGCAGTGCCCAGCGGAGCGGGCAGCAGCAAGGCAGGGGGCCTCGGGAGGGCCTGGCCTGAGCGGGGGGCAGAAGGTGCCTCAGCTCCCCCAGCACGGAGTCCGGGGCTCTGGACCCACATCTAAACCGCTGCGGGGCCCACCACCATGGCTCGACAGAGGGACCCCCTTCCAGGGCTGCCAGGTGGGGGCCCTGTGGCCTCGTCTGGCTCACACATCCTAGCCACGGCCTCGGGGCCCCGCTTGACGTCCCAGGGACACCTGAACTCCTAGGCTCGCCCTGTGGTGGCGAGCAGCACACAGCCTGCCCGAGAGCAGAGCGCTG